ACTGAGTACACGGATCAGTGTTACTTAAAAGCTTTTTGTTTTCTATTACAGGCATTTCTTCTATTGAGCTAAACTGGGGAAAAAAGTGAAATCTAATGGTTTTCAACCAGCACTTACACATTTGCAAATGTGAGATTTTCAAGTTCTTTTTGCATGCAGATGTTCTCCTTAAATGTATGTGTTGCAAAGCCTTGAAAACAAATATGATACTGTACCAAAATAACATTTTGGTTGAGAATGTTTGGTTTACGGGTTAAATCCTTGTCTATGCATTCTCTTTTCTGCATGCAGAAACCTATTTTATTTAGCATGCATTTATAAAATGTGAAATCCTTTCTAAGCTCCAGAGAGCCAGAAGTATCTTCCTTTTCAGAGCATGGAAAACAGCAGCATGCTCCCCTCCACACCAGCGCCCGTCTCTGCTTGTAGAAATGCCACCTGCAAAGGGCTGCGAGTGCTTTTTCTCTCAGAGCTTGACCTCTCCACCATGGCCACCTCTCAACTGGCAACCTGTCTGGTGGGGCTCTCACGGAGTGACTGCGTGCAGGCCACCTGACAGCCATGAGACAGGAAGGACTGAGCCAGGCTGGCATGTGACCCAGCGGCAAAATGCATTACAGTTCCCGCTAATCCCCTGAGCCTCCCAGTTGTTCATCATACGCTGCTGCCCAGCTCATCTCCAAGAGAGTCAAGGTGACGATGCCACGCATGGATTTAAATGAAGGGATCTCCTGCATTATGTGTCCACACGTGTCTTCCAATGGACACTCGAACTTTTCTCAACAGATCGCACTTCAACTCCTTTTCTTTACTTGGAGAGGACGTTTACGCAGGTATTACTCAGAAATCAACAAGCCTCGCCCACACTAGAGCCAGCCTGGAATGAATATTGCTTGTTTTACGGACAACTTAAATTTTTCCACTTACAGATTTTCTCAGGCTTTAGAATTATGGGTTGAAATTCTTAACTTTTCAAAGACGACTTCTGCAAATATTGTATTTCCAGCAAAACGAGGGTTTTTTCTGTTCAAAACAAATGGAAATGTTGCTTGGTTTCTACTGAATAAAAAGCACTGCATAACACTACATTTCAAAAACATGTTGACCAAGGTCAAAGAAGACTATTAAGGCTTGTAAGTTCAGGCTAACAACTGCTACCTATAATTCATAATTTCATTAGATATGTGTACAAGTCCTGGGTTGTGGGGAGGAAAAGCCCTTCCAAAACACTGAAAGCATCACAATAAGGATGTATTCTACCTGCTAGAGCCCGATGACATAAGGTCCGTAAGAGGTACCCTTCACTGGGGAAACAAGGAGCAGCAATCAAGGGTCTGGTATCGTATTCTTCAAAAGGCAACAAATTCCATTTGAGTCTGCACTGACCAGCTCCAGGAGCTGCCTGTGCCGCAAACCTGTGCTCTCTCAGTCAACTCCTCCTTCTTCATGGTTTTAGAGTTTGTTCAAAGACATAACAGATAATGTCAGCAGAAAATGCCCTCCAGGAGCATAGACAGAGGCAGATCCATATAACCAAAATAACTATAGATTGTATAATATGCATTTAGCCCCTATGTGTATATTACCATGCATATTTGTTTTATTTTCATGCTGTTACCACAAACAAGAACAACTAATGTCAGAGTCCAGCCCAATGAAGTTTAATCTCACATTCTACTTTTCATACACAAACAGAAATTAGTCGGTCAAGGGAGAAAAAACAAGCAATGACCAGACAAGTTCTTTAGCAGTATCTAAGCACTACTAAACGTAAACACTGAGAAGAAAACCAGCATTTTTCAAGGCTGGTTGCAAATAGACTGTAGCTAATTTTGAAAAATTGCATCTAAAATTATATACCATATTAAATAAAGAAATACAAGGGCTCTGATAGTAATGACTGTCACACTACATGAAACACTGACAACAAAGGTAAAGATTTACATTTTTTTTGGGCAGTTTCTTTTTTAATGCCAATTCACAAAGCAAGTATGGAGCATGAAAATCCTAAAACTTCAACAACCATTTTTAGTACATGATTAAGAGTGATGCTCTATTCATATACAATTACATAAATTAGATACGGAATTTTAAGGGACAATGTTGATTGATTCTGTTAATTCTGTTAGCAGTTTTCATATTCTTGACTTATAGTATCTTGACTTTCTTATCTCCAAGGGAAAAAAGAATTAATGAAATTTCATACCACAAAGTAATAAACTGTTTCTATCATGGTTTTAAATTCTGGCTTTAAATTAAATGAGTTGAAGAGCGGGACACTCCAAACAAACCACACTCTAAATCCTTCTACATAGTCAGTAAAAAGTTTTACATCCCAAACAATCATCGACAAATCCATGGAATATAATGTCATGCTTAGAATATAGCAGGGAGAAAAAAAAAATGAAACTTTTTGCAGTTCTTTGCAATAACAGATACAGACATGAGTGTTAGCACAGTAACTCTGAATTATTCACATATATTTGTGAATTATTCAATAAGAGGCCACAGAAAGCAGACATGAGGAAGATTTCTCTTAGCTCACTCACTGGGACTGCTCTTTATGTAGATAGTGAGATGATGCTGGACAGCCCAACTCCCCTGCAACCTGTGGAGCAACAGAAGAGGCAGCAGAGGAAAGGAAAGCTCCTAACATGCAGAAAACTTCTTCAATCCTGCAGTAGGAGGAGCTACTTCTTCTAAAACTGCTTTTGCAGCAGGCCCAATAGAGTCAACACAGCATATGTATGTATGCATGCACAGTTCTCTCCAGCAGCCTCGGCAGCTCTTCCCAACTCACCAAGGAACAAAGTATGTGCTTGATAACAGCAAAGTTTCAGATAATTCCAGTTGTTACTTCAGTCAGCCTTCATACCCTAAATACTAGAAAAGTGTTTTGCAATAACTAGTTATAACTAATGTTCTTGCGTACACAGAATTCCCTCCAATTCCCCATTTTATCATATAAGGAATGCAGGATCAGCCCTTGAAAGTTCTTCTTTGCCAGAGTCTTGAAAATCCTTGTAAGTGGAACAAATAGGATTCAAAAGGAGACATATATCTCCCCCTACCTGCAGAGCCCTTTATCCTCCTGCCCCAGGGAATGACATTCATGGAACTACTTCAGTCGCAAAGATGAAATAAACTGAAATCTTACAACCTGCCATAGCCACAGAACATCAAACTGTTGGGACTGGAAGCGTTTGAACCCCTCAACAAAGCCTGTTACTAAACTGCCACATTTGGTGCAAGAGGTTTTAAAAACAATTTGCACATATCTTTCTGTACTGGTTAAGAAATGACTAATCTGTTTTAACTGACTGTGTCCCAGTAATGGACTATCTGACCAACAGTACCCATCAAGAAACCATGGATAGGAAGTCTGCATACAAGCCTCTAACTTTTTACTCTCTCAAGGGAAGAAGTATGAGGTAATAACACGCAGATTTTTCTTTTTCGTCAAGATCCCTGAGAGCCTTTGTAGATTTGTCTCATTCTGTGGAGGCAGAAATGCTAAATACACAACAAAGCCAAAGCTTAAGTCTTCACTATTCACCCTTCCTTGAAAATTGCCTTTTACTTCTGTAGGAAATAGTGTCTTATTATCACAAATTCATTAGAGCTGTGTCATCATACCTGTCTAACACATCTCTAAGACAGTTCAGGTTTGGTTTTGAATGAAAAAAAAAAAAGCCTACAGAAAAGTAGTGCTGCCTGATAGGATTCCTGACACTTAAGGCTGACTTAAAAGCTTTTATTCCTTAACTTTAGCAATCACTCCTTCCATAGACAGGCAAGTTCACTGTAAGAATTTAACTTCCAACTGGAATGTGGAGGTTCATTTAGGCAACCCAAACTACACAACAGACAAGTAGCATAACTTCTCATGCTCTAACTTTGTTCCTGGCTTCCCCTAATTGCCGGGCCCTTCACAGAGCTGCTGTATGTGCTGTGTGTTTAGGGGGGAGGGGACAGCAGAAAGGGGAAGACAGCTCACTGTACGTCAAAGCAAACCAGCAACCTAGCAACCATATATTAAAAGGTGTGTGTGTTTTTGTGGGTGTCTGTGTGCCAGGAATAACTGAAGCAGATATTATTCCATTTGTAATTCAAAAAATGTGAAAAGGGAAGGGGAGAAACTCCAGTTGCTGGTCTATTTTGGGGTCTGTCAAAACACACTTTCACAATACAGAGTGGTAACACTTTCAATCTCATTTTTCGTAATCAAAAACGAAAGTCTGGACTTGAGCAAGTTCTTAGCTTTGGTTTGAAAATTGACCCTTCAAAGCAGAAACTGAACTTATTTCACATACTATGCTTTCTTCCAGCTGGAAATATGCAAAAATCAAAGGGGCACAAAAGGCTGCCTCAAAGACTTCACACTTAGGTTAAGAGAATACTTACAAATGTACAGAATACTTCTAGATAGATACACTTAATTTAACAAGCAGAAACGTCCAAGGTTCTCAGGGAATGGAACTAGCTTTATAAAGATTCACTTGAGTGAGAAATTTACCCTTTAAATTTTGCCCAAGTTTCTCATTCCACAAGGCAACTAAGAGTTTAGATCAGGATATGCAAGCTCCCACCCCATCATACGAGGCCCCAAGGGTGCATATAAACTTCTGATCTGCACCGTCCCACCACACCAGCATGTGCCTCTCGGGCAGCCTGAGCGTCGCACACCAGGTGTAACTTTCATGCCACCACACGAAAACGAGTGAGTTTTCGTCTGCGTGCCGTGGAACAGAGCAGGGGGATCGGGGAGGCGCCTCGGGACTGCACCCACCACCTCACCCCCAGCTACACTGCCCACGCTGCAGCTCCCGGCAGCCCGCGGCAGCCCCCAGCCAGGAGCAGCCCGCATACTGCCATCAGCACCCGCCGCCACCTCGCCCAGGTGTCCTGGTGCACAAGGCTGGGCTCTGCTCCTCCTCAGCACCACCACCGCACCGAACCACCACCGGCAGCAGCAGGGGAGGGAAGGAAAGGGGAGTTACCTTGTTTTTGACCCCGCAGTGGCAGCAGACAGTCCACAGGTACTTGAGGGTCCTCCACAGCAGGATGATAAACAGTCCCCCAAAGAAAGTAACCATGGATGAGGCGAGGAAAGCCCACCACATGCGCTGTCCGCGGCTATCGCAGGGCACCTCCATGGTCACCGGGATGATGAGCGCATCCATCTTGGGCACATTGACGGGGGAGGAGGACGAGTCTGTGTTGAGATTGTTGGCGTTGATATAATGACTCATTCTAATGCCGCTGCCGCTGCCGCCCGGGTAGGAGCCGCCGCCGCTGCCATTTGCCATAGCTAACAGCGAGCCGGGCGCGCAGGGGCTTCCGAGAGCTCCTCCCGCCGCCAGCGCCCCCCAAAAAGCCCATCACCAGCCATATTGCTGCTGCTGCCGCCGCTGCTCAGCGGGGAAGGATAAGGAGAGTAATAAAAATAAAAAGCCCCCAGAATATAGTCTCCTCCTCAGATTCCCACCCCTTCCTTCTCCCGCATACACAGCCCCTACCCCGCCCACCCCCAAAAAAAAATCATCCACCACCACCACAAACTGATGCCTCTGAGAGTCTCTCCAAGATACCCAGCGCTGCGACCCCGCTGGCCTCAGCGGGGATCCCTCACTCAGCCTCCGCCGCGGATCCTCCCGGAGGTGGTCTGTTATTATTGTTATTAGTCTTTAACGGCCAGCGCGACCCCTCCGCAGCGCGGCCGCAAGGGCGCCCTCGGGGGCGGCGGGCCCGGGGCTGCAGCCGGGGGGCAGCGGGGGAGGGAGGGAGCCGGGCGCGCTCGGGGCTCGCAGGAGGCGGTTGAGCTGCAGCAGCAGGTGCCCGGGGATGCGCACGGCGCGGGAGGGGGGAGCTGGCATGGAAACGCGCTAAGGGAGCGTGAAATAAACATCGGGGACCGCGGCGTGGGTTTTTCCGCTGAAGGCATTCGTGGCTTGTCTTTAATTGACACGGGCAAGTACTGCAAACGCTCCGCAAACACGCCGTAAATTGCCGCACATCCCAAGAACATTCCTGAATTTAACCCTTAGGAATATAAATAACAGATTTAAATGACACCTTTGGGGAGGATGGGGGTGAAAATCTGGATAGTCATCTTCTACTCTTTTTTTCGGATCCACGTTGAAAAGCAGAGACATTTATATGTCTATATGGGTATTTATTTATACATAAATCAAAATCTCCATTTGGCACATGGTCTGCTCACTGGGTTGTCTGTACAAAGTATTATGCAGATCCTCTTGACATCTTTCCAAGGGTAAAATACAGCAGCCTTTGTGTGCGTGACATTCCCCCATCTTATCTAGTTGCTATACCAGCAGAGAACCACCATTATGAAATAGTAATCTCTTAACCTTTAGTAGTAGTAGTTTCTGTTTCTGCATCTGCCAGGGGCTTGTTTGTTTTTGTTTCCTACTTAAGTGAAGGTAATAAGATTTTATGAGTTCCCAAAGCTTTTTATGGGGCTCTCTAACCCTCTCACCCTCACTTTTTTCATGCAATAGCACCACTGTTTGTCTGACTCTGTGAGTTCATCATGTTGTCTCTTTCCAGTCTGCCCCTCCAGTGTGTTCCTTCAAGAGAAGGCTTCCTTTTTCCAGAAGGGTTTGATGGGGGCCTCGGAATAGAGCAGGCATTAGATAATGATATGGAAGTGTACACAGATGAGAAAAATGCTACATTACTTTTTCCCCAAGAAAAACGGTCAGTTACATAGCAGACCTGGAGCAGGCTATTCCCAGGAGACTGTTGTAATGGAATTTGGTTGGGGATTTCTAGATGCAGAAAACTAGACAGATTGAAAAGAAACTGCCTGTCACAGCTGCCACATGCAAGCCCAGACTGTGCTGCCACAGCTGCTGCCCCCTCCCATGTCTTTTCATTATCAGCCCTCCCCAGCTGAGAGCCACCTGGACTGCAAAGTATTGCCATGACAGGATCGTACAGCCCTGGGTCCTGGGCTCAGAACCTGGTCCCCATGGTCATTTGCTCTGCATTCTGTGAGGAACACCCTTTTCACAGCTGCACACACACCTAGGGATCTTTTTATCCATCAGCAAACACCAGGAGTGGAACAAGGGCAGGAGCATCGTAACACAGGCACTTGATGTCTGATCTTCAGAAGTGCCAGGTACTTACAGGCACTCTTACAGCTAATAGAAACTACAAGCCCTGTGCACCGTGAAAGATGAGGACAATGAAGAGCAGCTGCACAGCATATCCCAGGGAAGGCTTTTGTGTGGTGGAATTTCTTCCGTATTCTGGTCTGGCAGATAACAAGAACTGAGTCTCTGAAGCCATGGCTGTGACATACATCCTCTTTTGCTGCTCTTTGAGAGGGCCCAGAAGATTTGACAGAGAGGCTGCAGTCTGAAAATACATTTTCTTGCTTTATACATTCAGAAGGTACGAGTTAAAAAGCATTTATTGGACTCAATACTGCTGCAGCTGAGCAGTGCAGACACTGTTTTCACGAGCGCTCCAGATGCAAACAGGATCGTTAGGCACTTCTCAAATATCATCCCCATAATACTGTACCCACACATACCAGAGATGGTCCTAAAGAAAAACTCAGACTAAAGCAAAGCAAGTGCACCACAAAATGTAGTCCGTATGTTCGAATAATTTGATTCAAACATGTTCACACAGAGTTTACATGTGGATTTGGACAGGGATAGGAGATTTATTGTGATCACTTGTTAAAGGCAGCTTTTAGGTTCTGATGCTCAAAAACTGTTAATAAACCAACCAACACATACAGTATGAGTCCAAGTATATAAATTTCACACTATATGTCCAGGGGAAAACCTTTTGTTTTATCCATATAAACAAAACTTTTATTTACATAAATATGGCTCAGTTCTACAAATATTTACCATGAAACTCACACTGAAAAGTAAATATTGATATGAATTGGTAAGACTTACCTTAGCACTTGAAAGTTTCCTTACTAGGAAATATCTGCAAAAGACAAACCAAAGTAGGTAACTGTATTTTGTTCACCTATTCATAGACAGAGGTAAAAATGGTCCTTAAATGAATACCCCTTCCATTAAGTCCCATATGAGCTTACTCCTTTATGAATAAAGAAAGGCCAGCTTTCCAGTGCAGGCTCTATAAAGCAGAGTTTGAGAAAGCCCCCTGGGGCTGTATGCTTCATTTACTGAGGCAACAACTCCATTTCATGCTGCCTTCAGACTAAACAAGATTTTCAAGCTCTGCATCCTGGAGAGATCTATTCCAAACAAACAGGAAACTTCAATGAATTAGTTTTCAGATTAGTTGTCTATTTAATATTTCAACACAAGAGCTCAAAATTTACTTGGTTAACAGTACTATTTACAGAACATAACAAACACTGTGCTGACCTGTGTTTTCCCATTCTTACCATGTAGCACAGTCCAGGACACAATCATGCCTACTCAATGTAATTCTGGAGGATTTGGTTCTAGAAAGCAGTGTTTTAGCAGCAAGGGAATGACTCCTCTTTATGTAAAACAGTTCCCTCTTGTGGATATTCTGTGTAGAGTATCACAGAAGTATTTAAAATATTAATCAATCCTGGATCTTTGCAATTAAAACCCCCAACTCTGTTCATCAATTCTCCAAACCCCTTAGCATTCTTGGTTTTAGCAATTAAGTATGTGAGGAAGAACAAGCTATTGCATTTAATCATAATACAATTTGTCCAATTCCACATTATCAATAACAAATTATTTAATAAAGTGCAATAAACATAACAAGCTAAATAAAGTTGCATAACTGTACCTCTATGAGTCAAGTGCAAATCACAGTGGGGCTTTTTATTTTGCTTATATGAGAAAACTTTCCACACATTCCTTTAAGAGAAACCATGATTAAAAAACAAGAAAAAGATACACTATATAAAGAAAAGAGACAGTAATGGCAAAGCAGTCAGGCTTTCCAAGGATCCATGTACTAAGTACAGAAGACAAAGAAACTGTGGAATGATAAATCTTTCAATTAAAACTAGAGTCCAGACAAGTGGTACAGCTTCACTGGTGACACAATATTGCACCAGGGATTAATTTGGCATGGCAGTTAGGAAAAAAAAAACCAAAACCAACACATGAATGGAGCAACAGTGTGAAGATTTATGTGTTCTCTAAATCATGATTACATTATACAAAGAATAATTTTTTTTCTAAAGAGTAATGTGAGAGAATAAATGTGTACTCCCCAGTTTTTCTTCAAAGCATATATGGTCTAACTGAATCCATGGAAATGATAATGCATGTTATTATCTTGAGGGAAATTACATGAAAAAAGGCTAAAAACCTTTATATATACTAAACTTGTTTATATATACTAAACTTGTTTACCACAACATGTTTGTTAAATGGTTATAAAGAAAACCTTCCTAAACTTTGATTAAAAGTACAGAGTAAATGTTAAAGAAGCAGCTTAAGGGTCAGTAATGTAAATACTTTCCAAGGTTAAAAAAAACCCAGAGTTCCAACGGTTTGTGTCCAACAGCTTCCTTCACATTTCTGTTGTCCCTGTAGAATACACCCTTGGGTTTTATGTAACATCAGTAGCTGTGGCAGGGCAAGCACTTACACACAGAAATAGCATAAAATAATAATAAAAAGTGCTTCTAGTCAAGAGGCTAGGTTTGTGTTTCTGAGGTCAGTGAGGCACTTGGTCCTGACTTCAAATGCTGGAGATCCAGTATCAACCAGACTTCGGATATAAGCACAGATGTCTTGCATAATTAATTCTGAGCCTCACTTTAATACTATTCCTTACTATTCCTACTTTTTCTTGAGAACAGAGTGAAAAATAATACATTTGTAGTGATTAGATGGATACTGGAACAAAATCATACCATGAAATAATTCTGGGATTTTTGTTGCAATGCAAAATGTTTGCTGTCTGAGATGCTGACGTAAAACACATAAGGTTGGATCTACTGTCCTTGTATTAAAAACTCAAAAGAGGAAATTTGAGCAGGAGATTATATTAATATGCACATAACTATATATTTGCACATGGCAAATTATTTTCTTCAGCATTTGCTTTTTCACAGAATTTAGACAACCTATTTCAGTGTATATTAATTGAAAATTCTGTTTAGTTTACTTTCTATCTGCCCAATCCCTGTTCAAAGACTGAAGTACATATTTAGCATGATAATATATTGCACACTGTAACAGCTTCTTATCAAAGTACTTTGCAAATAGGAATATATTCAACCTCATCACATCTCTCTGTAACTGTATACGTGAACACTATTCTTGGCAGTGAGGTTATGTAACGATTTCCTTGAATTAGTTAAAACTTTTGTATTGAGATCTATTTTGGCACTTAACCCTGGCAAAATCCTCCAGCTGGCAGGACAAAGACATACCTCAGCAGAATGCTTTAATGGGTCACCCAGTCATTCAGAGTGATCATCTCCAGAGCACTGGAACCTTTGCACTCAATCCAGCCAAATAAAATATTAAAGAAAATCCCTTGTTCATGCTAATCCATATGGTATGAATAGAAATTTAATATAAATGAATATTGCAAACAGAAATTGCATTTCTTTGGGCTTTTAAAAATCATTTTAATAAAACAATTCTTCATATCCTTGTATTTTGCTTAAGAGTTAAACCCATAC